TCCTAGAATCATCTTTAGAGAATATGGTATCGAGTCCAGTGAGTCCAAAAGCATCTAGTGCGGGCATCTGCGCAGGACGCGTTCGAATGTCTCATCGGTTCCTCAGGAGTCGCACATGGAGGTGTCCACTAAACTGACGCGAAACGAGTGCGTCTTCGTGAATGGAACACCCAGCCAAAGGTGGCATAACAGCATCGCATAGAAGCGGGATTTTTGTGATGATAGCTGTAGTTCGGACGAAGGATCAAGATTACGTAACTGACAACTTTGGAAGCTAGGACTAAAACGTGCGTGTAAGGCGACAATGTATTCGCGATGTGAAAGACATTTAAAAGGGTCATAAATCCGTTTTACAGGTAGTAATAGAACGACTTCCGTATCCGAGTTTATTGCCTCACAAATCGATTGGATGGATGGATGTAAAATTTTATAGAAAGTCCCGAGGTGCGCGACTCGGCGCACAGCGGGCCACTCTCATGCTGGAACAGTCGGGCTAAACCCGACCGCCGCATCGTGGCTCTTGGTAGCAGAAAGCCACTTGTCCCGATCGGTTTGGTCCTTGCCTCGTGGTGAAGGGCAACGCCGGAGCATATGGTCTAGGCTATCGAAGTCATTGCAGCACCTGGAAGAACTACTGGATAGCGAGAACTGTCGGGATAGTCACTTGTACAAAGCCGAACTGGGATACCAGCCCGTCTCCGACAGTTTGAGGGTCAATGCCTGCACTGTAACTTCTGCGACAAAAAGTTTCTCGAATCCCTCAAGAACAAGCGTATTTTGTCCATGGTTTCGTCGTGCGGTTTAAGCGCGCTTTCTCACAGCCCGGAAGAAAAAAAAAAGACTAAAAACAAGCCATCCCTCAAACTTAAACCGCTGCCTGAAGCCTACTAAACCCCCATCGTAAAGTACCGCCATCTGCTCTTCCCCTCGCCGCCTCCTCTCCGGCGCGTCGCTTTTTTTCTTTCGCTTGTCACAGTGGCGCCCCCTGTGACGCGCCACGAGCTTGCAGTTTGGTTTCGAGCTGGTGAGAGGAGGAAGCGGCGCAGATCAAAAGAATACTGTACTTTTCCGAAGGTATTACTGGTTCCGGCCAACGTCTAGCGGCAAAGTAGGCACTGATAGGGGTAGCTGAGTCTCACCTTATCATCTATAATATCTGGCGAGTGCAAATGAAGTCCTTTCTTTCTTCCCACGTCCCGACCAGAGCACTAGGAGGAAAGAAATTTACGCCAGCGTCCGTCATGTCCTTGAGCGCGCACGATGAAACTCAATAGCTCTTTACCGTTCTTTTTTTTTTATGCGCGCAGTGGCTCACTGTGTAATGTTAGCTGACTGAGGAACATTGCACCGATTTGTGGCAGCACCCCCCGGCAAAAGGCGCATCTGATATAAACGCCGCACTTCGTGTATCCATGTTACCTGCGAATTTAGGCGTAGTGACCTCTCACACAGCTCGCCTTCATTTATTTATTGATTTTTTAATAGTTTTAATACAAGCTTAAGCGACACCTAAACATTTGGGAATATCATCCGTAATTTTACTTTGGTTGACATCTGCGGGCACCAGAATAAAAATCGATGCACTGCTGTGCAATCCCACGTTACTGCAAGATTTCCCTGAAGGTTTAGTGGTGTAGGTTCCACTTCGTGCTCCAGCAAGGAGTTATCACTAGTGCTAAACACTCCAATGAAACCGCGGCCTTGTAAAGGTGCAAAGGCAGCACCACGAAAGAACCATAGTACTTGTTCTTGTCGACCTTCTCTTGTGGCTCATACCCACTGTGGGGGAGTGGCCAATAATTGAGGGTCTTATAAAATGTTATTCCATTTCATAGTAAAGGAAATAATAAAATAAAACATTACAAATTTTAGAACGAAATTTTGATGCTCATTGAAATGTACCTACTATAAAGCTTTTGTATTAGTAATAGTAATAAGCACACGGTTGCCTTTCTTCCATACACACTTACCCTGAGGGATTGGCCAGGAATTCATAGTTTAGAATTTTTAAGGTAATTTGAACAAGGTTGAATGATTCAAAAAAGTAAATAACAAAAACGATATGCAACTTTCACCTCTTCAAAATATTATCGTTAAGGTAACACACAATCCGCAGGTATGAATGAAAGAAGTTAATTTAGGAATCAATTTTCTTTGACAGAAACAATATTGACGAGAACAGACAAGATTGGACACTTGTCTGTTATTTCTAATTACCATGAACATTTTTTTAAAAGGTGTAAAAGAATGTTGGACATTGTTCAGTGACCTCAAGTTGTCTCAACCGATGCATTAAAGTGCGCACTTTACAGCCGAGCTCTTGTAGTGGAAAGGTGCCTCGGTGCAAGAAGCAAGCAGGCTGATTAGACTTTCAATAGATGCATGAGCTCTCAATAACTGCACTATGGATAGATGGTTTAAAGGCCCACCCACTTACGAAGTGCTCAGGCATTATTGTCACCTAAAACAGAGGCAGAGAGCCCAAAGTGCGACAGCCTGCCCGTCCCAGCGTGACAGAAGCCCACTGTGCTATCAGTGGGCTTCTATCGTTCTATCAATGTGTGTAGCTATGTAGGTGCTATATTGCCTAGTATATAATTAGTGGGCACTTCACGAATTTGCAAAATGATGAAATATGGCATACCGGGCATTTGGCAACTGCACCTGCACTAGGAATCTTAGGATAGTTTAAAATAGCCAATGTTGCATGCCCAGATTTGTGGTTCATATGCCCATAGAGAAGCAAAGCGTGGCAAGTAATATAGAATGTGATGTAAACAAAGCACAATTAAACTGTCGCGTCCCACTCTTCAAATCGAAGCTCAGGTGTCCTCCAAGTTTTTTTTTGCAATACATGTGTTGACCTTTTCTACAGTGCTGCCGGTTGTGCACTCTCCCAGACACTACCCTAAGCGGTCAACATGGTGCACAAGATGCCAATCAATATCCGAGTGACATTAATATGAGAACATAATGAGGAAAAGGCAGAACACGTGATAGCCTAAATAACGAAATTGCCAGGGATGCCATTTTTATTTGTTGTTTGATTTCCTTGCAACAAAGTGGAGCAATTGCTTCGCACAACCTCATGCCCTAAAAATCCTTCACAATATCCTCCTTTTTTCTGTTTTTCGCAACTTCAGCGATGATCCTAGCGTTCGCTTGAAGCATAAAAAAAACTTCACTTTTTAATAGGAGGCAGCATTTTTCTTGACAGCTGAACAACACCGCACGTATGCAGAGTGCGAGAGATCTCGGCATGCACAAGCACAGCCACTGTTACAGGTAACACGGGGCAGGTAGCGGAGCACCGCGATAGGTGCCGCGCAAAGTATTGCGGCGCAAGCGCAAAAGGTGCTAGAGGTGGAGTTGTCTGTGCGTCGTGTGATACGGTTTTTCCCACTTCGCTGCGAACTGTGAAATCTACACTGTGTGAGTGGCTTTACCAGAGCACATGTAGCGAAGTGGGAGGAACCATAGCAGACGACGCACAGCTAACTCCACTTCTGCCACTGAGTGCGCTTGAGCCGTAAAGCCCTAACATCATGCACGAAATCTCCTAGCAACAGCGAAAAATTTGCTTCGTCTAACCGTCGCAATGCGACGGTTGCAACCGCATGTCGGCGACAAAGTGTTAGTGTTGCTTGAATGAAAACCACCATGTGCATACCCATAGATTGTGAAGAGAAGTTAAAAAGTTGGTGGATGATAACATGCCAAATTTAATACTGTCTTCTGTGGCCTAAAGAAGCAACAAAAGCATTTCGCGACCTTCTTTTTTGCAATCTTTGATTTAACTGCAACAAGCTGCCTAGAAGCGTATATGCTACGACGCACTTCGCATTACGATTTTGTATTGTAGCCAGTCACTTGATTGTCACAAGCGACCGTCGAGACATCAGAACAAACGTTCGATAATGAGATTTACGAGAAAATGCGGGCGCTCTCTCTTTCTGGAGTTAGATGTGAATGTGAGAAAGGTAGTCGATACCTTGCATCCCTTGAAGCACGCCCAGATAACAAGTGTCGTGAGCCAACTGCAACCGAATCGAGGACTATGGGCGCAGCCATGCTGCCGGCATTAACCATACTGTCTTCTGGGAGACAAGCGGTCTTTTCTGGTTTTCCAGAAACGATCGACACGACAAGCGGCAGCAACGGATGGGCCTCCACAACAGCAAATCTTGTCATCCATCGTTGCTGCTTGTCGCTGTCGCGAGGAAATCGCATGCATGCAGTTAGGGCTTAATACTTTGCGCTGCAACGTGTGCCGCGTTACTTGTGTAACAGTGGCTGCACCTGTACAAGGAAAGATGTACAGTAGCAAGAAGTTGGGCAGTATACAGAATGTCAACATGACTGCCCATTCGTGAATGTCGTCACTTGAAACGACATGTGCCTGTGTGGGCGCCAACACAGTAGTTAAAAAACCATGCTCGGCAAAAAGATGACGATTTGTCCCCATCATCACCACCCGATAATAAAAGTTTATCCAATAATAAAAGTTTATCCAATAATAAAAGTTTATCCAATCCAATCCAATCACCACCCGATGAACTGTAAACAGCAATGGTTTACTGATGCAATGTACGTGAAAACATATCGAATGGGCAGTGCTGCTACTTTCGCACTTTTCAGTTCCCTACTAACTCATGGGTAATCACCCGAAGGTTCTGTCACTGCGGGAGCGCTGTTTAAAATCTCGTCACTGTTGAGAGGAAGCAAAAGCATGAACAATATTGGAATTATTGGAAATATTGGAACAATATTGGAAGCAAGAATTTCGTTATTCAGTGCTTTTGTTAGAGGAATCCTTGCAGTAGGCAAAGCTTCGCCTTTCATTGAGAACAAAGGTGATGAGATTGTAACCTAATTACAGCAAATAAATGAGGTTAGTCATAAGTAGAAAGGAGAGACAGAAAGCTCCAATGTAGTTTAGAGCTCTTAGTTGTACCCACATATTGACATGGGGTACTGCCTAAAGAATGCAGAGACAACCATAATAAAACAAATCAATCGAGATTTATTTGTGATTCTCATACTCCGTACTATCGCGCAATTATACAAACAAAAAAATGTAAGCTCAGAGTAATCATAAACGACGCATGAAATACATGAAAGGTCTAATTATCACAACATACAATAATTGAAAAAAAAAAAAAAAACTGTGCCGACTATGACACGAAAATGTTCTTGTAAGGGGGGCTAGGTAACACTAAGTGTTTGGGCGGTGTCGTAGGATTAAGAAAACACAGGCTAATGTTTTTACCCCTTTCTATCAGTGTTCTCCCCTGTCACATTCTGAGACACAGCTAAGCGTGCCATTGTGTGTGTGTTTGTTTCCACGGGCTTTAAGGCGAACCGTGCACTGCACCACGAGCCAGCTACGAGCTCGGGTATTACAAAATGCAAGCACCGTGTCTGTGAACGTGTAAACATTCCTCCCACCTCTCCGGTGTGAATGCAGCACGACGAGAACAACAACAAAGAGCACACAGACAAATTCCAACAACGTTTCCCTTCTGCCTCACGAAGAGAAATGAATGCTGAAAATCGCCTAGATGTGCGCACCTTTCGCTTACAACACTGCTCAGTAGCAAGGTAGAATAAAGCGATGACAAGGCCTGCTGTCTTACAAAACACTGAAAAGAATTTGAAAAAAGAAAACGAAAGACAATAATACCGGGAACAAATATTCACCCGCCCGATGCGTCCTACAGCATTGTTCAACAAGCAGCGCATGAAACAGCAAGAGTAGCAAGCTAGCGCTAAAGCATGACATCATAGCAAACTTGCTGCTCCTGCACATGGCAGGAAGCGAAAGAACATCAAGGCTAAAATGGGCAGCATACTACCTCACACTAACATGTATGACATCTCAAGAAAACAGAGAGAAAAACCCAAATTTCACACAGCATCACAGCTGGTGAAATTAAAAAAAGAAAAGTTCCCTGCTAGAGAGGCCCAAGTTTTCAGATTCAAGCACTCACACACTTTCGTTGAGTAGGCACGCATACAGAGAGAGAAGAAAACAAGTACACTTGAAATGAAGGCGGGCTCAAGAATTTGAAAGACCCATGCTTTTTTCATCTGCCCTCATTTTCACTTTTTGTTGCCCATGAGCACCACGCATCGCTCAAGCGGTGCTAGGCAGCTAGGAGCTTAGTCAGGCGGCCGCTTCTCGGAGTGCTTCTTGGTGAACTCCTCTGCATTTTTCAGGAACTTCTTCCGGTCTTTGCTGTACTCCTCGGCAAGGTCGGCACGTAGCGGGTGCTCTGGCTCTGGGTCGTTGACTAGCGCAATCAGAGCTTGGATAACTGCACAGAAAGAAGAGTGAGGACGCTTAATCCTAATTGTTGTAACAGTCTATGTGGCAGCATTGCCCCTAGACTATAGCCAAGCTCGACTATAATGAACTTGGGTAAACTACGCTGTTCTGTAGACTGAACTATTATAAAGCACAACAATGCTTCATGACCGATCCACACGAATATCTCTATGTGTAACACCCAAGAGCTAGAACACTTTATGCATTGAACATCAGGCAGCACGAAATACCTCAAGAAGTTAGTTTTTCCTCATGGAGGTGGGGCTTTGCTGCATGTATTTGGGAGAGCCAGCGGAGACACTAGGAAAGCACCTTGCAGAGCAAGAAGCCACAGCTTGATATCGTGCTTTTCCTCAGTAGCACCGTATTTGTGAGTTTGGTGCCTCTGCTCAGTTTTCCATACATCTGTACTTTTTCTGTTAATGCCATTTTCGTGATTTTTTTTTAAATGAAGCTTCGTTCCCAAGCAACGATTTCCGGAGGAGAAGATACTGACACCGAGTCGCACGAGTGCAATAATAATAATAATAATAATAATAATAATAATAATAATAATAATAACAATAATGTAGTGGAGCATACGCATCACTGAAAGCCCTAAGAAGTTTCGTTGGCCTCTGCTCCTTTCATCGTTTCGTCCACAACTTCGCGTCCCATCATCGCACCTTTGGCGAGTCTGCTTTCCAACAGCAAAGGTATATCTGCATGGTCACCTGCATGTGATGGCGCATTTCGCCAGCTGCGCCGCCTGTTCACCTCACCACTTATTCTTCGTCACTACGACCCCACAGCTGCAACAGAAATTCACACCGATGCAAGTGACATCGGTCTTGGTGCAGTTTTGGCTTAACGGAAAGACACCCAAGCCGAATACGTAGTCACCCTATGCAAGTTGCGCTCTCAAGAAGGCTGAATTGAATTACTCCGTGACAGAGAAGGAGTGTTCGGCCATAATCTGGGCCTTGACGAAGTTTCGCCCGTACCTTTACAGCCGTCCTTTCGACGTCACAGACCACCACGCTCTATGTTGGCTGTCCACCTTGAAAGACCCGTCCGGACGCCTGGGGCGTTGGGCACTTCGATTGCAGGAATAAAAAACCGTGTCGTATATCGTTCTGGTCGCAAGCATGCGGATGCACTTTCACGATCGCCATTAACACAAGTTGTGGCTTCTTTGTCACCCCTTTTTACCACCTTGTCACCACTCGACACCAGTGACATGCTTTCGGAGCAGCGTAAAGACCCATACCTTGCTTTGTTACTCGACTACCTTACTGATCCGTCTGCTGTCCCTTCCATGAGAGCGCTACGCCGGCAAGCAGCCCACTTTTCCATGCGAGACAACATTCTCAACTACCGCAACCACATGCCTGGTAATCGGAAGTGGCTCCTTGCTGTCCTAACTGATATGCGCTCTGACATCTGCATGAATTCCCATGCAAATCCCCAAAGTGCTCACGCAGGTGTCTTGAAAACCTATGAAAGGCTGCCCAACGATATCACTGGCAAGGAATGTATCGCTTTGTGCAGAAATCACTTAAGTTCTTGCCCACCATTTGTCAACGGAACAAGACACCTCCGCTGGCACCTTACTGGCATGTTAAGCCCTTCCATGCCCGGCCGCCCATTTCGACCACGTTGGGTATCGACCTCTATGGCCCCTTCCCATATAGTGGTCTCTGGAAAGCGCTGGGATTATTGTCATGCATCGATCATCTGACACTGCTACGCTGATGACTACTGCTCTACCGGCTTCGCGACCCGCCCACGAAGTTGCAACTCTTCATTTCTCCGCAGCTTCATTCTACGCCATGGTGCTCCGAGGGAATTACTGAGTGATAGGGGCGAGTGTTCCTGCTGGAGGTCAGCCAAGCCTATCCTCGCTGAATGCAACATCATCCACTGGAAATCACGCATACATCCACAGATGCATGGTCGCCACTGAATGGTTCAACAACACAATCTTGGCGACATGCTGAGGATGTTTACCTTTTGTTACCGTCGCTTACAACACCGCGACGCAAACGACTACCGGTTTTTCCCCGTTTTTTTTCTGTTGTACGGCCGCGAACCTTCCCACCCACTCGACACTATACTTCCTTACCGCCCTGATGCTTCTAAGTGCTCCTCGCTTTCGGAAGTCGCTAGATACGCTGAAGACTGCTGTTGGTGGGCTCGGTCTCTGACAACTGAGGCTCAAGGTCTACAAAAGACCCGACATGACGACGTTCACCACATAGCTCCTACATTTCGTGCTGGCTCTCTTGTGTGGCATTGAATGTACATGGGCTCCTACCATCCCACCTCCATCGAAATGTGACTGCCGGGGCCAAGATTGAACCCATGGCGTTTGGGTCAACAGCCGAGCACCATAACTGCTACATTACTGCAGCAGAACACTAGTGCAACGATGGTGTTGGTGGAGTCTGCTGAAAGAAGGCAGTGTGCACCAGCATGAGACTACACACACATACACACACACACAAAAAAAAAAGGCGAGCAGACTGACCAGCCTCCACAGCTGTGCGAGGGAAACCGCACATGAGGTGCCAGAAGTTGGCAACGGTGAGAATCAAGCGACATGGACGAGCCCTGGAGCTATTCAACAGCATCATAGGTGTACTGTGTAGAGTACACCCAAATGTAACACACACCTTTTTCGAAAAAAAAAAAAAGGTTTTAAAAATCGCATGTGCGTTAGTGTTGAGAGTAACCTCAAAGCTGTACCACAACTGCCTATGACCGTTAGGAGGAGTGACAGTTTACTCATTGCTGGCAAACATGCTAGCATGCCTCTTTGTTTTCTACAATCACGGCACCCGTATTCGATCGCTTGGACTGCTGTGCTTGCTAGTGTGCGAATGACTCGTGTACCGATTACGCAAATCAACATACTAATTCTTTGGGCAAATGGATGCCGCAGCCACCCTGAAGAGCCGTCATTTCTGCTGTGAGCCCTTGAACGAAAGTTGATAGTATACCTGAAAGAGTGCAGAAAGAGTAGCACCACACTTTTTGAGTGTATCAGAGAATTGCGTCCGAGACTGGTGAAAACTGAGGAATTCTTTTTTCAACAGTAAACATCAAGTAAAGGCCACCACTGTTTAAGAGAAGCTGTGAGACCTTGACAATGAGCTAACAATTTCTGGAAACTTTGAGTGGGCTAACAATGTCTGGAAACTTTGAGTGGAACATGAGGAGCTATTAGCGAAGACCCTTAAACTCGCCAGAAGTTGAGGCCTTCAAAAACAATTTAGAGCCAGCGCCAAGTGAATTAGCAGATTCTTGAAGCAAACAGAATTTTCTTTGTTAAGGCAAAGAACTTGTTCGACTGGCATGTGCCCCTACTGGCAAATATTGGCATGTCCTAGAAGTTACCTAAGAAATTTATCGAAAACAAAAGAGAAACAGACCACTTTTCAGGGGTCTGTATCGTCATTGTGACACAGCAACACTTATCAATTCAGCCAAATCAACAGTGGAGTCAATAAGAACCAAACAAGTTTGCCAGCTTTTATACAGCCACAAAGAGACATGTAACGGCAATGCTGGCCTGTAAGGGAGATCGCCACAAGTAGGCACCATCCCTTCTTTGGAAGCAGAAGATGCCATTAACGGCAATGCACTTTTCCCTGAGGTGTTGCAATGCGTGCGAACGAGAAAGGTTCAATGAACATGGACATGTTTATGAGTGGCTGTCAAAACGGAGGGTTCAGTTGTGCCTGTAGCTTTTAGGTGCCAGTTGGGACCAACATGTCTCAAGCTGCCGCTTGAGGTAAGTCTTCCAGTCTGTCGGAGTAGGAGATCATGGTGAAGGACTATGCTGAGTGCATCACAATTAGTGGCTCACGACCAGATGTTACACGTTCAGTTGTGCAAGAAGTGCGGCAGTTAAAACACAACAGGTGGCACTGAAGAAGCAATGCTACGAACCGAAGTGAACAAGGGCGATTTGAAAGCAACAGCCACAATAAAGAGATTGTTCATACTTGAAAGTATAAAGATTTTAAAACTTATCATTTTCAAGTCACACAAGTCGTATGCATGCTAATTAAAAATCATGCGCGTGCTATACACTCGATTAATATAGAGACTGCGGGGCCAGAGTCTCGGTTTTTAATGGGACAAAGGTACCTGTAAAAAAAATAGTGAGTAGGCTCCTGTACACAACGTTAAGAGCATTTCAAGCTGGTCAAGGGTCTACTGAACAAAGTGGCCATGTCGACTTTTCAAGCAGCTTGGCCTGGCTCGACCATAGGATTACCGTGAATACCCGCATACATTACGAAGTTTTTCTTCCAAATATTAGCGTTTAAAACTTCGGCTTTATATTATGTGTGGATCCAAATGAAAACTTGCCCGAAAAACGAAATTGTGCTTGAAGTTTCGGTTTCGTAACTGCCACTTGGCTACGGCTTCGTTTTGTCTACAAGTGGCTACGGCTTGGCTTCGCTATTTTCGCGCCCATTTCGCCATTTCTTTCTTTGTTGAGTTTTTTGAGCGCTCAGACAGCGGACGGGCAGGCATGTGAACCTCGCTGTGTTCTGTGCCTCACTTCTCAAAGGTGCAACATGCCAGGGCACCGAACTCAGTACTCAGCTGCATTCAAAGAAAGCTTCATCGCAGCTGTCGAGGAAATCGGCAACAGTGCAGCCAGAAGACAGTTCGGAGTCGCTGAGGGAAGTGTCCGTGGATGGCGACGACAGAAACTAAGCGCTTTTCACGTGCAGCGGAAAGCGAAAAAGCTTTCGCGGTCCAAAGAAAGGGGCCTTCCCAGAGATTGAACTCGCATTGACAGAGTTCGTTCGACAGCAGCGGGCGGCGCACTTGCCAGTCAACATGGAGCTGATGCAGATGAAAGCGACGAAGCTGGCGAGAGAAAAGGGGATATTGAGCTCGGACGTCAAATCCAGCAAGCACCGGATCTACCGTTACATGTGCCGAGCTGGATTTTCTCCAGCGCCGGCGAACCTCCATTTCTCAGAAGCT